TTTCTGCCGAAATAAACACTAGCCGTAATTCTTCTATTAATTGCGCTTCAAAAACCACTGTTTTTCAAGTTTAAAAAAATTTACATTTTCGCCGTAAATACCAAGGCGAAATACCAAGCCTTCATGTTTTGCTAAAATTTATTTTTCTTCATATTTCAATACAAGGATGCCCTTGATGTGTACTATTCAGAATGGACATCCTTTCATCGAATGTGATATAACTATCTTATTGCTAACGTCGCCTTCTTTGATAACTTTTTTAGAAAATAAACATGTTTGTTGTCTTTATTTTTTGTGTATTCAAGATATTGTATTGAACAAAATGGTTATGCGGCCCGCGCTCGTCATGATTTCAGTTATCTAGCCCGCTGTGAAAAATATTTGGTGACCCGGGATCTAGAGCAATAATATGGAAATACAATTTTTGACGAAATTTGTGAAAAATGCAAATGCCTTTGAGATTTTAATGAAAAAAATTTTTAAGAGTTAAAAATAGCGTATTTTAAAGCAAAATTAATTGTAAAACATCCGATTCTCTTTATTTCTTAGAAGAAAACCCAAATAAAAGTCATTACAAATTGATGAAAAAATTTATATCGCATGGAAAGCCCAGAAAAGACAGATTTCTCTCATTAAATAATAAATTAAATTCTTCTAGAGTTTTTTGCATTTTTCACAAATTTCGTCAAAAATTGTATTTCCATATTATTGCTTTTGAAGCATGCACTTGATGCGCGCTTTTCAAAATGGAAGTCTATTTATCAAAACTCGCAATACTTAACTCTCTATCTGTTGTGAAAATTGCGTCTTTCTTCCATTTTTCTACTCTTCTGAAGATAAACTTCACCACAAGGGCTTCAAAATTGGAAATGTTCATTAAAATTCTAAAATCTAAAAGTTTATTACGGCTACCTTCCATATACATTCTCTCTTTAACTGTCTATCTATTCTGAATGAGAGAAATCTGGGCTTTTGATTCGATATAACATTTTCACCAAGTTGTAACTTTTTTTCTTGGGTTTTTTTCTAAGAAATAAAGAGAATCGGATGTTTCACAATTAATTTTGCTTTAAAATACGAACTTTTTGCCTTTTTTCAAAAAAAATATAATTTTTCGTCAAAATTTCATTTTGCATTTTTTTCTAGAAATAAAGAGAATAGGATGTTTTACAATATATTTTGCTTTTAAACTTTTGGCTTTTTCAGTAACAATGAAATGAACTTAATGACTTTCTAGATCACAATAACTGTAATAGATGTAGAATAAATGAAAAATTATATGCTAAGATTAGAAGGTAGAAAACGTACTCTATGCATGTATACCACCTTGTTGCTTTAGATGAATGACACAAAACAACAGGTATCTAGAACGAAAGAAACACAACAACTTTCTTGATGAAATGTTATGCAAAATCCCACATACACTCGAATATTTTAAAACAAATTTTCTAGACGGATACAAAGTCGTAGCAAACATATATTAAGAACTAAACCTAATGAATTGTAGTTTCTTGGAGAAACTTGATACAAGTATCCTTTCTTAAAATTCCAAAAAAAAGTTCCATTTATCGAGCTTTGATTTAGTATTTAAACAAAAAAATTCAAGTTAATTTTTAACCGAAACATTTTTAGCTAAATTCCTGGAAAGTTCATTATTCAGGAAGGTCCGAAGATTAACACAATGCAATGTAATACATTTTGTTATGAACCAGTACAATTATACAATTAAGACAATGCAAACTGTTTACAGTATGTTTGTTTCTTGACTGAACTGAAGAAACGAAATAATGCTTTTCGAGTTTGCATCGTAATTATCAGACTTGAGTTTCTTCTTTCAGTTTTGGTTTGTTTTAGTGCAGGTTTAAACCATATTAGGCTATCTACTGTGTCTACCAAGTAGTTTAATAAAGTTTAAAAAGTCGTTGTTTAGATTAAAGATTTTAACAACTTCTAATTATTTAATTTTATAGCTGAGAATATTCGCCGAAAATTGAAGAATTGTAGCTCCGTTTTATATTTTTGTCTAAAATATTATTATCTAGGTAAATTAAAACTTTTACATGGAATTTATACATGTAATATGAGAAACTCGTGTATGTTATTACATGTTCATTTTTTAAAAAATACGTTAATATAACGTAAATAAAACGTTTCTTTGAAGGAAAAAACTTTTTTATCTACCTGCCATCTGGTGATTGTAATACAGACATGTGATTGACAAGATGGTGTAAACTCTAAAAGTAAATATGTAAAGCGAGTTTTGTATCGTTTTCATTGTGAATTTTTGTCCTTATTTTTTAAAATAAATTAAAGTTCATTAAATCAGGAAAGCTATAATATACAAATATGTCGAAAGCAAAGAACAATTTGTGTTCTGTCTTGTTGAAAGAACATTTTGGAGAAGTCGTTCAAAAAATTGGAACACTTTTGATGAAAAAAGGATCGATGCCGTTACGATTGCTGATTATTGATTCGAAGCTTCCGCTTCAAAAGGTAAGATCAAAATATTTTCCTTGTTTTGAAGTTATATTCTCTAGTTTATTAAGCTTTTAACAGCAATGTGTATATTTGTTGTTTATAATTTAGTTGATTTCGAAAACGTTACCAAAGGGGGTACATAGAATTTTTCAGTTTTACATTTTTCAGTTTTCATGGGCGTTTTTTACCACTTATTCGCCCCTTGTTGATGACTCTTCACCAAATTTGGCATGAAAGTTTGTTGGGTCCATGGGGAGATACATACAAATTTTCAGGTTTGCACATTCTATGGGCGTTTTTTTTTTTACAATAATATATCAGGGAAGCAACTTTTCATGTCCTATGATAACCTTTCATTAATCTTGAATGTACATAACTTCCATCCAGGGGACGGGTACTCCAGCTAGTTTATAATACAACTTTGTTTACATCAAAATTATGTCCACTGTTTTTTTACAAATCACACTGTTTTATATTTATAGCATGATTGCTAAAACGAGAAAATGATATTCATAGGGCTTAGTACTAGTAGTTATAGAGTATATCAATTTTTCTCTTTTTATTGATCATTTGATGTAACATAAAGTCCCAAGTTATAATGCTCTAAGTACAGTAAAGAACTGTTAGTAAAAAGTGAACAAACCATTGCTCTGACAGCCATTATTTATTATTATATATGTTATGCCTCGGATACCCCAAGGCTTTCATACCTGTGAATCTCAGTAGAGTTGGGAACACCCAGAACGTGGCCTGATGCTATATGTAAATTAAAATTTAACCAGTTGTTAATAAGTTGGGTTAATGTTAAGTAATCATGTATAAAGTGTATATTTAGCTACAAGCACAGCTACTTGATAGTAACAATATTTATTATAGGTAATGTATTCTTGATGGTAAAATTAAACTGTCCACTTTTTTGGGCCAGCCAGTATAGTTAGGTCACAGTACTGGACTACAATCCACTGTTAAACTGTGTAGTTCACTGGACTAGCCAGTAAAATTAAGTCATTGTCCTAGGTAATCCACTGTCAAAATGTTCAGTTTACTGGCCCAGCCAAAATGTTCTTTTGTTCATCATATTTACGGTATTAGGTAAAATTAATAAATTTGTAGGTACATAACTGTGTCTGAGTTTACTTTCTCAAAAAAAAAAGACAAATGTTTAATATGGGAAGGTGAGTGTTTTATAGATTAAACATTTAATCAAGCATGGGGATAAAAGTTTCTGTTTTCTCAAACAAACATAATTATGGTATGTTTTAACTAAGTTTGTGGTTCCAATGGAAAGTAATTGAATTTTTATTTTTCTCTGTTTATGGATTTTTAATAATCAGAGTCATGCACGGAAAATATCAGCTTGGAAACATATATTTTAGTTAACATGACTTATACAAGTTACATCCGGCTGACCGTTTTTATGATGGAATTTGTTTTACTGCTTCACACTTTGATAAGCATCTTTATAGACATGGTAAATTTATTATTTTTTAACCATAATCAGGATCATGTGTAAATAAGACCCTTACACTGAAATATCAACTTGGAATGTTTTTGAGTTTGTTCACTTATGCATACACTTACTTTTACAAAACACTATTTTGTAGCTTTGTCATATAAGTTGTTGTTAGATGGAAAGTCTCAATTATATAACAAAAATTACATGATTTTTTAACCCAGTTTCATGATTCTTACTTATGTAAAGAGTTAAGCATCATGTAATTAGACTTTGTCCAACAGAGTTCTTTCCAGAAATGACATTGTAGCCAGTGTAAGTGATTTCTTCACTCTGTACAAGTACCATCTGGTCAGTGGGTATATGGAGCTAGTTTATGTATGATTGACAGATAGTTTACTAATTGTTTTACCCAAATATCAGATTGACAAACAAGCAGTGTGTGCCTCATTCCCCCTACTCCACATCTTTCTTTGAGAACCAGTGATGTGGCGACGGAAACAATACTGGGGATGTTTCCTTAATTTTACACAGGAGAGCTATTTAATTAAAACAATGTTGCCAGCTGGTGCCTTAAGAAATATTGTCAGGTATTAAAAAAAAATTGTGACTGTAACTGTTTTTGTCACAATATACAGGACTGATAATATAACTAATAAAAGTCTAATAGTTAGGTAGTATATAAAAAAAAACCTCCTGTTAATCTCAGGCCTCAGCTTATGAATAAGTAAGCTTTCTTCTGTTTGGGAGTTCTGTTCATCATTGTACTAAAACCTTAAACCAGCTGGATCCTATGTTGGGATGTTATTTAATTCTCGTTAAATGTTTTATTTTAGTATGACCAATGTTGCGTTGCAGACAGCAAGAAAAAGGAAATTTGTAAACTACATATGACAATTTTAAAGTCAGGATCTTTAAATCTAAAGAAAAACTGTAGGTGACAATTAGGTTTAAACGCAAGTATTCACTGTATCTGCTGTTACACCCTTTGAATGACATTTTCAACTGTTTCTTCATGATAAAAAAATATTTACCCATATAGGGCAGATGACGACAAGAGGATATTTACGTACTTTAATTGTATAAAGTATATTAGTTAATTCTTTATGCAAGAATTAGCTATTTTGTATGTACCTCAATGTGCTAGATATTTTGTATGTACCTCACATGTGCTAGATATTTTATATGTAACCTCACATGTGCTAGATATTTTATATGTAACCTCACATCTGCTAGATATTTTGTATGTACAATATTTTGAATATATTTTCTTTAAGAATATTTGGAACAAAACTTGCAAAGTTGAAATACAAGCCTGTTAATGTTTTCTTACCATATTTAAATTGACCATTGTTATTACTAACTAAAGTGTCCAATACATAAAGTTGCTGATGTTCCACTGTAAACTTCCTGCTACAATGTATTCTATTAATATAGAGAAGAAAGTGAGAAACTTGATCAAAGTTTCTGAAGATGGTGAAGGTTTCATCTACACATATTTTAGATAATAGACTGGTTTAAACTGTTATTGGCACTTTTCTAGCCATTGGGTTTCATTAAAACACGTAAATAAATTGGTTAAAGATGACACCATAGTAACACCATCAACCTGATCTTTACAGCTTTCTATACAAAATAAAATGAGATTCTTAAGTAGCAAAGTTCATAAATTAAATTTCACAGGTTGTGGAATAGTCACATTGTTAGAACTGTGGTTGTAGAGCATATTAGAACTTAACTGAATGGTTTATATTTGTATATAATGATTCTACATCAAAACTGGCATGGTGACCATTACTGTTGTATTTCATGAGGAAACCCAAAACTGTTTTTTTAAAGTAGAACTTGTAGTGTGTATTTAGAGAACTATCATGTTTATTAGAATTTCCGATGTGTTTTCAGGTGAAGAAAGCCCTGTGTGTTTTGATTCAGCACAATTTGGTAGAGTTCAAAGTGGGTTCTCGTGGGTTTCCTGAATACACCCTGTTAACAGATAATGCATTGCTATTGTTGAGATACCCACGATACATTTACAATGCAAAAACCTTGTAAGTATTTGTTATTTAACAACTTGTAGCTTGACATGATGGAAGTTCCTGTCTTCAAAACAGACTACACAGCTACTTTTGTAAGCTGTTCGTATAGACCGATACATTGTAGATTCATTGTTTATAATCATCAAAAAAAGCTCTTTTTATACAATGTTATTCTTGCTTCACTGGGGTCTCACATATATATATCGTAACTTCAAGAGATCAACATGAATACCTAAAATATAAATACTTTCCTAATGGTAAAAGCATGGTGTAATTTTACTGTGTTACTTGGACAGTGACATTTTTAACTGGTTAAATTTAAACCTAAATGCTCAAATTTAAAAATTGTAACATGTCTTAAAATCAGAAATGTAAGTTTTATTATTGTTTCCATAAAAAAAAAAAGTTGATAAATAATTAGTAAATTATTTTTTTTCACGGCGATATTTTAATATTATTTGTGGTTGCTTTTAATAGGTGATAAATTACAAAAATTGTCATCAAAATGGCACTTTCATACTTAAGAAAGTAATATAATAATAGAACTTATTTGTCTTGGAAACAATAGAACCAGAATTAATTATGTAATTAATTTAATTACATAAAGTAATTTAACTTAATATAGAATGTATGGCTATAGACATGAAAGTAGTGACATTTGTTGATGGTTAAGAAACATAGAACATGAAAATAAAAGAAATCATAATTAATTTGTAGCCATCTATTGGCTATAAAGGTAAGTTTTATTAAATTAAATATAGTTTAAAATTAAATGTGAAACATAATACCAGTTAAATTTAAATCAAAGTAATTGGTTAATGCTAAAGTAAAAATATTAAGAACCAAAACTGTACAGTTGGTGATGAAAAGTTTGACCAATACGGCTCCCTAGTGGCTCACCTGCAAATTTAAAGGCTTATAGTGCTAGAAATTGGGGCTTAATATCTGTTAATACAGAATCTCACAAGTACAAGAAAGTTACAAAATAATTTATATAATGTGATTTATTTACCGTACTAAACACTATAAATTGTAAAATCGGGAGAATTATCATCACTGTAAAGTTAACTTATTCCATGGAATGTAAAACAATTTTATAATTGTTATTTTTATTATTTTAATTATTATTTTTAAAATACTGAAATAGGTAGCATCACAAACGAAGTTGGATATATATATATTGTAACTTAAAACAAATATTGAATAAAAGTCTGTGTTTATATATTATGGAAAAATTATCAGATAATTATGAGTTAAAATTAGGTCTCAAGATTAGTATTTATGACAAGTCTATATTAAATATATGCAAAATATCATTACAATAAATTGGTGTATATCCAAATATTTAGTTTCCAAATAACTGCAATACATTACCTTAGCTATTTGACTGCCATCTATTATCTGGAAAAGTAACTAATTGAAGTGGGTAGCATTTAATACCATCCAAACAACTAAGTTGTTGTTTAGTATTATTTCAGATTGTGATAATAGATGTTGAATGTAGAAAATGATCACTTCGACAATCAAAAGGCATAAAAAACATGAAGGGTTTATGTATTGCCAAACTAATTTATTGTATTGAGCCTGAAACATAAATAATATTGGCAGTATATAAACCCTTCATGGTTTTTATGGTAGGCTCAGTTTTTTTACTTCATTAAATATGTGGAAGAAAAAGGAAGTTCTAATTAAACTATCCCACGAAATAAACTACATTTAAAATTGTTAAATCAGGGAGAAAAGAAAGAATTAAAGAGTATTATACAACAAGGTTTCATATTGAGATCGTCACTCCATGAAAAATAATAAAACTGTATAGTTGGATTAGTAAAAAAAAAGTATTAAAACGTTTGATATTTTAAATTTCATTTTCAAAAAGATTTTATTTTATTATACTTCTGGAAAATGTAGTATTTCCTATTGATGTGTGAAAAATGTTGGCATAAATTTCAAGCATTATATTTAAATTTGTTGATCGTTTGTACACGAGGCAGAATATTTAATTATTACAGGTATGGAGACACGGGTGAACTTATTATTGAAGAACTACTGACCAATGGTCAAATGACCATGAGTGCCGTTGTGGGCAAGGTCACCTTACGATTGTCTGAAGCAACGGAAAGTGGTAATTTTGTTATTCTATTTTTATCGGTGAAAATAATACAACACGTTGGATCTCTTTTAATGTCAAGATGTTTAACTCAAATACTGAATTGATACATTTTTCAAATGAAAGCATCTAAAGTTTTTTTATTGTAAGAATAATTACTTTTGTACAGACAAAAAGATATTGTAAAATAGTTTAAATTACTTTTAGATAAAATAACTGTTTATGTTTCAGGTGTGTCAGTAAATCAAGTAAAAGACGTTTTTGTGAAATTGGTAGAAACTCAGTTTGTTCAACGTTGTTCTGTTCTGCAGTCGTTCGATGCAGAGAAACCTGTAGCACCCACAATGAATGTATATGAAAAGGAAATGTATTTAATTCCAGAGGTACAAGTTTTTCTTCAGTCTGTATATGGTAGTGATGAAAATCTTGGGTGTTAAACCTTTGTTAAATGGGAGCAGTAAGTCGGGATTTTAACTGTGCGTCTTAATACATAAACTCAAGTATTTATAAGAATAGAAAGAAAATATAGGAGGCACTGAATTCATTTGCAGGAATTCTAATTTCAATAAAACTATAGTGAAAAATATATTGTATTTCGGACGGTTTCAGTAATTATGAAATGAAATGTTTATTTTCACTATCATCTCGATCTTGTAAAAAAAAAAAATAAAAAAAAGAATAAGCTTAATGTTTTAGTACTTAACGGAATTGTAAAAAAAAAAAACTTTTAAAAATTCCAATTGCTTGATATAAATATTTTTCCTGTGAATCTTCCCTGTTTCCTAATGCACCAGGTTTTATTTCACCTAGATAAAGTTGCATCTTATCCGTAAATCAGAAGGCAGTGATGAACCTCCAGCTAAGAAACGGCGAGTGGAAACCCAAGAAGACAAACAACCCGATGAGGATATTTACTGGAGGGTAAACTTTGATCGTTTTCACCATTACCTCAGGTTGGTCTACTTTTTTATTATAATTACAAGAATTAAAATTATTAACTTATCAATTCCAGTCGTTTAAACTATTATATGTTAAGTTGTTTTCTGTTGAAACAGATTAAAGCTGGGGATTATATGTTAAATATATACAATCTCTGTTCATTATACATTTGAAGTCAGGAGTGTACAGTTTATTAATATTGTTTCCACTGTTTAACACTGTACGGTTATTCAGGGTATTATGTCTTACAATGGATGAACAAAACTACGAACTTTAAATTTGTGTCTAGTAAGAGAACTTTCATCATCAACAGGAAGGTAAGAATGCACAACAAAATAAGTTGTGAACTGTTGTATGGCACTCAGAGTGGAGTTGTCTTTAGTAGGAGTTTGACTATTTATGTTGTAATTGTTGTATTATAGTCAGAGTGGAGGTTTCTTGAAATTAATACTGTCAGCAGCTATACACAGTATATTAGTTTTGCAGTCGTGTGTTTTATCCTACAGAGATCAAGCTTTGATCACTGCTGCATCAAGAAGATTGGGGCCAAAGGCGGCAGATATTTTACGAACAATATTAAGGTTAGCAGAGACTCGATCGGACCCCTGGGCTCCAACGACTTGCTGTGTCTCGCAACAAGAAGTATTTGAGGCTGTAGTTAAAGAAACCAACATTGTAAAACCGGTAACTGAAATCTTTGTTATTTTGACCCTTTCCAGCCCATTAGCAGTATATCAAACATTTATATATTCACTTGCATAAAAATTAATAGCTCCAATATCGCACCTGAAACAGCGACTCTTCAAATGTAGATCTTGAAAACCAGTAGGTAAAGTTGCTGTATAGTTACACAACATGCCCGTAACAGTAACTCAAGTTTTGTCAGTATTTCTCTTATTTATTTTAAACTATTAGGACCTATTCTGTCTACTGTAAGACCCCATTCTTTCAACTTGTCAGCGGGATATTTTATAAAGCAAAAAAAAAAAAAGAGTTGGAAAAATAATTACTTAAAACAGAATAACCAATAAATTTAAGTTATTGTCCTCATGTAACAAAACAAAGTAGGCATGTTGTCAAAAGCTTCTGACTTAGTTTCTGAAAGTTTAGAAGTTTACAGAGCTCTTCAACAACTACATTGTGAAATAATCCAAACTTTCTGACAACGTATTTATAATTTTGTTATCATTATAGTTGCAGGTTTATCTTCTTTTCAGGAAATTCCTCCTTACCTGTCTGTTCTAACAGAAGACAGTGCCAGCTTATTGTCGAAAGTGGAAGATCGAGGTGGAGGTGTATACACGGTCACGACTTATAAGGCTTTACAGCAGTTAGTGGAAGCTATTATTATGTCTGTGGTGGAAGACAGATTTGGATCAAAATGTTGCAGAATATTCAGGTAATTTCACCTCGTCACTGTTTTAAGTAATTACTTACTACATTTTTCTGAAACCTTAAAAGTTTGTAGACCGTACTAAAGAAAGTTTCCTGTTCAGGTTGTTACTGATGAAGAAGTATTTGGAACAGAAGCAGATCGAAGACCTTGCCATGATTCCAGCTAAAGATACCAAGGAGTATACATACAAACTGTTCCAGGAGAAGTTTCTGAATGCTCACGTAAGTTTCATAATTTCTTTAAAATTTTCTGTAAAGCACACTTATTTCCAAGCTCAATACAGAACTCAGTGTTGTATCGTAGTTTATGCTTCCGTTTCTTTCCTGCATGTCGGGTCAGCTTTAATAAACCTAGAACTATTAGGGTATCCTCTGAATTATTAATGAAAGAGTTCCGTAACTCATGATTGTTGTTTGCTTCACGTAAACAATTTGTCACAACTTCGATCTCCTGAGCGGTTCCAAGTCATTTTCTAATCAAACTATGTACTGTGTACTTCTCTAAACTAGATTAAATCGGTAACTCCACTGTTCATTTTAATTACAGGAAGTGCCTAGGACCATGGATCATGCCCCATCTCGTACATTCTTTCTCTTCTACGTTAACATAAGCCAGGTACGTGAGAACTATGTTCTAATAGTCTACATTCCATTAACTCAGACAAACGTTCTGTTTGAAATAAAGAAATATATATACATGTTTTACTGAGCAGCCGTTGTTTGATGTCCAGGTGTGTAGAATGGTTGTAGAAAGGTGCTACAAGGCAGCTCACAACGCTATCAGTCGACAAGAGTGGGAAACTAGAGAAAATAAACGGCTCTTGGAGAAACAGCAGAGAGTGGAGGCTATTATCGCCACTCTTAGAGAAAATTCAGCAGACCAAACACAGATTGATGAGGTTAGTAAAGTTTACAACTTAATTACCTGTTGTTTCAGTGTACCTGTGATGGATAGCAACTGCCTGTATGAAAGAAAAGTAAAGTGAGACTTTCTTTAGGTTACTGTAGATATTTGTGAAGCCTTGGGATTAAAGCTCAGGCTGTGTGGTAATTGGCTGGTATTCTCTTAGGACTATGACATCATCCTCTTATCTCTATGGGTTGTCCACAGGTCTCTGTTGAGTTTAATTTAATGTAAATAGCTTCTTTGACCTTTCTTTCAAGTGGTGAACTTTGCCTAAAATTCTCTATTGATCCCAGTTTATGATATGTCCAGCCAAGGCCAATTTATCTGGGTGTGTTAGTCAAGTTGTGGTTTTACATACTTTTAACTATTCTATTGTCCGACCAGTTTCTTCACAACTATTGGTACTTCGTAGGTGTGTTCTTTTTATTTAGACCTGTTGGGTGAATATTTTGTAGTTATTAATTTTTTAAAATGAACTTCGTCTTGTGGTGGTGGTAGATATAAAACAGGAAGAACTTATTTCTGGAGAACATTTTCAGAAACAATGGAACTCGTCTATGAAATATCATGTTTGTGTAACAACTGGACAGACAATAGAACAAGACTGTCAGATCCAGATAATTCAACATTGGCTGGACGTATCAACTGGGATCAATGTAGAATTTTTAGGCAAAGCTCACTACTGGAACTCAACAGACTCTACTGATAATAAGATGAGAACACCAGCCTGAGCTTTAACACATGGCTGCACTACACAAGTATCTAATTAAAGTAAACAGCACAAGAATAACTTACAAACATACATCTAACCAGTTGGCTCTGATATGTCACCACTTCACACACCTACTTAAGACCGACAACTGACACTTCAACTTCTATACTTAGGTCTGCTTCAGGTCAAGGAGGTAGAAGAAATGATAACTCCTCCAGAACGTGCACAACTCAGTCACACTAAAAGTGTAGTGAACAAGTTAGAAAGAAGCCAACTTCAACTTGACGAGACAATGTTCATATTGACCTTGTTCATCAACTTCAGGAAGTGAGTTCCTTAAAACTGTAGATATTTATTCTTTAACGTACGTTACTCAGTTGAACTCCTGAACCAGCAACAGACAGTTGAAAGACGTGATTCAAAACAACAAGTGGCTCTTTCTGCGTCTTAAATCTTTCTTCTGACCTATGAAGATATATTTTTAGGACAATTTAAGTCAACAGTTAATAATACACAATCAGCTGACTGTATAGGGATAAAATAAATTACTGTGGGACTAAGAATAGTCTCATACACCACATGTTTTAATACCACCTTGCATCAGTTAAATCCTATATACAATTCAGCTCACCTGTTAACGTCTCTCTCTGGTCCTTCATCCTTATTTGATTATCTCGGTAGGTTTACAGATATTACTATCACTGATGTTTGTAGGTTGTGCTAAATACTTTTTTTCCATAGACTCGGTCCCCGGGAACGACCTCGTAACCATTTTGTGCTTGTTATAGTTTTCGTACTATAACTTTCAATACAGTAAGCGTATCTTCACAAAATTTTGCAGATTATCAATAAACGTTACAAAAAATATCATAGTTTTTAAACGATGGACTATCCAACATGCAAAGTGATTTGGATTTTAAGATTGAAAATACTTTTATGCATTAGAAAATTGTTCAAATTTCACATGAGAAATCTTTATAACCTCCAGATATTTCCAAACATTTTATTTTATCTATTGTATCTCTGTATGGGATTGGGTGAATCGACCAACGTCATAACCACGATAATAAAATTGGGAAATAGATATAAATAATGTTTGGCATAACATTACACATTTTATTGACCTTTCAACCATGTCTGACTAACATTACAGAAGTTGCAATGACCGGTGCACGTGCACTCATGTTACCGTATCCAGTAGTATAAAACTGTCTTGGCTTGGTTCTATTGCAGTGTTTCTCAATTGGGTAAATGAGTATTATCAGTTATTATTATTCATTCTAGTTGTAGTTTGATATTTAAGTCATAACAAAGAATAAAGTGAGCTGTTGTGAATGATATTGGAAAACCACTATTCTAATGGACCAGTATTTCGGTTATAATACATTATATGTGAACAAGGAGTTATTATTAATCAAGTACATAGCAGCAGAAAGATGATTTAATACTAATATTGTTGACAGAGCTGTCAGAAAATTAAATAACGGGGATAAAAATACTACATTATAAATAAATTAAACCAGGTATACATGGTAATGTTTCTTTCTTATCTTGTCAAATAAAGCAACAACAAAATATCTTTCCAATATATATATAGACCAATGAACAAGATTAGCCAAATTCGTAATATAACTAACGATAAAATTGATTTAATGGAAAGAACTGATATATACAAAATAACAGGCAAATATGGAAATACTTTTATAGGACAAACTAACTTAAAAATAATAATAAAAGTACCTGAACATACTAATGATACTAAACACTTGATTTAATGGGGGAAAACGGCCTGCAAACATCAATGGTAATAATATCCATAATTAAATGTAACAAAAATAATTTTAAAGTATTAAATAAGAATGAAGAACCAGAGGGAAACATTGTTAATAGGTGACGTGAAGTACTTTACTCTTGTACCTGTTCATAAATTTAATTACTTCCGATTGTATACAAGGCTTAAGACATGTTCCCAGTCCCACATTATTTTATCTTTATACAGTAAAATTATCATGTATTTATTTGTTGTTGTTGTTGAGACCGTGGAGAGGCTCATATTAAATTCTTTGACTTTATTTCTCTAATCCTATTTTTACTTGTAACAGAACTGTCATTATTTAGATTAAAATAAACTTCTTACTCTTATACTCTCTGTTCTTGAATTATTTCCTTAAATAGTGTAACTCTTCCAGTCAATTATACAACACAAGAACTATGAACTTAAAGATTTAATATCTATGTCAAATATACAACACAAGAACTAAGAACTTAAAGATTTAATATCTGTGTAAATAGTGTAACTCTTCCAGTCAATTATACAACACGAGAACTAAGAACGTAAAGATTTAATATCTATGTCAAATATACAACACAAGAACTAAGAACTTAAAGATTTAATATCTATGTAAATAGTGTAACTCTTCCAGTCAATTATACAACACGAGAACTAAGAACGTAAAGATTTAATATCTATGTCAATTATACAACACGAGAACTACGAACTTAAAGATTTAATATCTTATGTAAATAGTGTAACTCTTCCAGTCAATTATACAACACGAGAAC